TACAGCTCTTTTAATATCATACAAATCAGTGTAATGTTCCAAAGCACGTTGTAATAAACCAGCTTTTTCACATAATTGTGCAATATGAGCTCTATCATAATGAGTAAACATTTGATTTCCTAAAATTGCATCAGCAACTTGTGGAGCAGACATTAGATTCATTTCTAAAAGTCGTGTTTGTAAAGCTCCTTCACTTGGCCGATTATTTTTCAAAGCATCTAATAAAAATGCTGTACATTGTTGAACCATATTTTGTTCCATGAATATATCCACAATTTGATTAATATCAGCTAAAGGTTCATCATCTTGAACTAACATCTGGGCAAATGCTACACCTTGATCTGGATTAATTCTCATGACATTTCTTAACAAAAATATATAATCAGGAGTATACGAAACTTTCTTAGCATACAATACAATTTTTTGGAATTGACCAGTTTCTGCAAAACATTGTATAACTTTATTAGGGACATTAGCTCTTAAATAAACACTAAGAGCTAAAGTTGGATCAGCTTGTTTCACTAAATCACCCAATTCTTCACTACATTCTAATTTATCTTCTTTTAACCATTTTTCAAGAAGTTGTTTACGACCTTGTACAAGCACTGGACGACATAATTCCAAAGATTCATATTTATTTAATTGTCCTTGATCTAGAAGTATTCCAAAATATTGCAACAAGGGCGATGTTTGTCCTTGTGTAGTTGGTACTTGTTGGAATCGTTGAATAGTTGCTGGAGTTCGAAGTATTCCTTTTGGAGCATTTGCTGCAACTTTGGCTGCTTCTGCATATTGACCATTTTGAAAAAGTAAATTAAATTTCCTTACAAATAAATCTTCAGCTCCTGACAAGTTATTTCTTACAGCCATTCGTAATGCAAGTTCAGAATTTTGTAATACTCCATTTATATATGGAATTATGTTTTCTTCATCAACAGATACAGATAATACTTGACCTTTTCGATTTACCCCTATTATACCACCAGATGCTTCATGTGGTGCAGTAACAAAAATAGTTTCACCAGATATGCGATTCATAAATATACATGTAGCAGATTCAATATCATACATATGTATATAACCATATTTTGTTATTAAATATATAACATCATATTTTGAGCTGACTTGCATAGCAACAGGAAAATCATTTCCAGCTTCTGGTGGAAAAAAAACATCTACTGCTTTCTTTGGAAAAGGATGATTACCAGCAGGAGGTTGACCTACTTCAATAATATGAAGTTTTGCACCTTGTACTGTCCTAACAGCAAAACAAAATAAATTACTCGGTTCTGCATTTCCTTCCATTTTAAATTGGGCAAAAGAAGCAGCATGTCCTTCAATTGGTTGAGAACATTTTCTTTCAACAGAATAAAGTTGCATAGCACCAACCACTCTATTGTGCTGAGCAGAAATACCAATTAATAATAACCATGTTTGTTTCGGATCAGTTCTATAATTAATTATTTGACAGCCATTTAATGAAGAATGTCGGTCAAACATTTTATTCGGAGTTGATTCTCCTTCCATTGACCAATGATAAACTGCAGTCTCTGTTACCAATGCCAAAGTATTTAAAGATATCCATTTCCAGAATACTACATCTTCAGTCATTGTATGAGCTTTCATTTTTGATTTCATTTCTATATTAAAAATCTGAAGAGTTTTCATTGCTAAGAATAAAAATAAAATATATTACTAAGTCTATTATTAAATTTAACTTAAAGAAGCATATTGATTATTACCTTTTAAAGCAATTACTTTACTCGCAGGATTCATAATTGCAGAATCTGCAGAAATAGGTCTTCTGATAGGATTCGCAGAATCATTCATGTCAATAATAACTACTTGTGCAGTATCGCCAACTTTTTCTCGAACACAAATAAATTTATCAGATTCCATTGTAAGTGTATTAAAGCTAACATTGTTAGCATTAATCCCAACAGCTGTAAGCTATAAGAAAAAAATGATATACACATGATATACACAAATTAAAAAATATTAAACAATATATAATTTTTAATTAATTTTAATTATTTAAATTATTTTAAAAATAATGTTAATTACTAAAATATATAATATATAAACTTATTCTATTACTAAAATAGAAATTATTATATTTTATTTTTTATATTAATGTATCAAAACTATAATACTAACTATAAAACTATAATATTAGTTTTCAAATTAAATAAAAAAATAGATAAAAAATATAAAGAATATCAATTTCTTTATATTAAAATTTGTAATTTTAATATAGATTATAATAATTAAAAAGTAAAAATATTAAAAATATTAAATTTAAAAATTTTAAAAAATTTTCTTATAATTAAAAATTTTTAGAAAATTCTTAGAAATTTTAATTTATTTTTTATTATTTTAAAATAAATAATAATTTAGCATAGTTGTATTTCTTTAAAAATAAAATCAAATGGTAATAAAAATATTATTTCAAATATTGATAATACAAGTCAAAATCATTGAAATTAATGAGATTTTGTAAACAATTATTATAAAAAAAATATTTCAATTAAGTTAAATTATAATTATCTTTATTATTTATTATTCGAATTTAAGTTAATTAATGCTAAAGTTTAATTTAATCTGTTTAAAACTATCTCAAACTTTAATTATAAATTTCATAGATTTTGATAAAATGAACAAATAAAAAATATATACTTGTTATTCAGAATAATTTCTAAAATATCTATTTTAAATAAAAATATCACATAATTACAAATTACATAAAAAAAAAAGAATGAAAAAAAAATATGATACTAAAACATTTTTAAAATCATTAATAAAAATAAAATATCTAAATAGCACAATCACAAATCATATAAAAAGAAAAAGAAATAAAAAAAAATATATGATATTAAGGCAATTATTTTTAAATAAAATATTTTCTTAAAGATATTAATGTGACTTAAATTTTTTTTTTAATAAAATGTGTTATATAAAAGAATATTGAATTTTCTATAATGATTTATAAATAAAGTCTAACCTAATACCTTATAATTAATTATAATAGGTTATCAATATATGTATTATATTCCAGTACATTTTATTATTAGTACAAATGAATTATTATATAATAAATAAAAAGAAAAATTAAAATCAAATCATAAAAAAATAATAAAAAAATAAATTTCTATCTTTTATTAAAAAATTGTATAAATTGTAAAAAAAAATATAAAAAAGATAATAGGCTTCACTTTAAATATCTATTATAATTAAAATCATATTATAATTATAAAAAATATTTTTGCTATTTATTAAATGTAACACAAATGATTAATTAAAAATTCTTTTTAGAAATTTATTGTTTTTTTCAATTTCAGTATGAAAGAATATATATTCTATTTAAAAATTCAAGATCACATTGATATCTTATTTATAAATAGGTTATTTAAAAAATCTTTTGAGCATTATATATTCTTCTTTTGACATCATATAATTTTTATATAAAATATTTTTTCATAAAATATGTACTTTAGATGTTATTTAGGTTATCACAAATTGTGATTTATTCTACATAAATAAAAATAAATAGATAAATCAAATAAATATAAAATATTTAAAATCTAGAATAAAAAATATATAATAATGAATTATAATCAAAATATATGTCATGAAAAATCACAAAATTATTATTATGAAAAAAATGATAATTGAAGGAATGAATCCCGAATCAATTTCATATTGTTATCATAAAATTATAAAGAAACAACAATTTAATTATAAAATTCATGATATATAAAAACGGAAATAAGGGGCGTATATGCCGAGTAGACGTGGCCTCATTGATAGAAAAAAAATCAATTTATTTTTTTCGCCAACATTACCATATAGAATAATACTATGATTAGTTAACCTCTACGTACGTATTCGATTATTAAAGTATGTAAAAATTGATTAAAATTTATATAAATAAAGAAACATATAATCATATTATATCTGTCAAAGTAATGTCAATTTGAAATGATTTTAACGGAATTACATCTCTTTGCTACTAATAATAAATGACAATATAGACATTTATTAAAAAAACATTAAAAATATAAAATAAAATTGAAAATGTAATTTATATAAATAGAAATATTTGACGACATATCGAAATAATAGAAGAATTGAATATGAAAGCAGGTCACTTACCTGGAGATGTTCTTGAAACCTTATGGGTAGTAACTGCGTCATTTTTCTGATGTTTTTCAAAATTTTTCGAGGTTTTCCAGCCGCGGTTATCTAATTAAAAATCTATCGCGGCTGTCTATCTTTCTTATGTACAACTGTTTTGGCTTATGGTGCGCTTCTCAATCAAAAAACCTCAGTCCAACTATCAGCGCACAAAACCAACTGACGCAAAGTGAATGCCGTCACTACTTGCCGCTGACACCCATCATGGCCGCCAATGACCGCCCCTCTGTCTAAAAATAGTTCCTTAAGTACAAAAGTGTTCCGATCGATCCTATATTCTGATATTACTAAACGTTTGTAAACACATCAAAATAGTAACGATACATGAAACACATAATAGAATATTGAATAATAATAATTATTGTTATGATTATATTAATTTAAATTTTCATTAGTACAAAAACAGACAACTGAATTTTATAATAAATTTCTCGAACAACTCTTCTTCCTTTCTTCAATTTTTATCCCCCACTCTTTACTATGAATAAAGCTGCGAGAATCGCATAATTATATATGCGGTATGTTGTTCATTGTATATTTATGAATTTTCTTACGAATTTGCATAATTATATTATTTTATATCTAATACATACTTATATACAATACAATAAAATTAAAATTTGTATCTTGATTTTAAAAGAATTGGAAAGTTTTAGGTAAATTATATATATATGTATATAAAGTACATTAACGAGGTCATTGCATCTTCATTCAGAAAATCGTTTTGAAGTCTATATATATTTATAATTATTCTACTATATAAAAAATTTTCATTCATATGTATAAAAAAGTGAATTACATATTAATAAATTAAAAATACAATTTATTTCGAGTAATCTTGTCAAAACTGTATAATATAGATTTTACAAATAGTTATTATACAGATATTTTTATGAATCATCTAATCGAAAAGACCGAAACCCATATCATCATCTTCTGATTCAGATTCTTCTTTTGCTGGTTTCTTCTCTTCTGTAAAGTATAAATTATATTAAAATAATGTATATATATATATATACACATATATATATATAATAAATAAAATATGTATATACCTTTCTTTTCTTCAGCTGGAGCAGTAGTACCTCCAACTGGTGCAGCATCTGCACTAACTGCAACACCACCGCCAACTGGCATAGATAATAATTTTTCCATTCCTGAAAAAATAGAAAATGAAATTAAAATATCTTTTTCATTTATATAAAATAAAAAATATGAAAAAATTAAAAATTAATTTTTAAATTTAACAAAATCTTTATTATTACTATAAATAATTTGATATGCAATTTTTATATAATATTCTATATTATATTTACATATTATATATATAATGTTTTATAATATATATAATATTTAATAATATTATATATATATATATGTATATATTTATATATTGATTTAACATTGAATTTCATTAAAAAGCTATACCTTGTGAAATAAGTTCTTCTATTGATTTTCCATTTAGTTCTGCGATAACTTTTTTAAGTTTTTCACCATCTGTTTCAATTCCAACGGATGATAAAATTTTTTCAATATCATTTTGATTAGGAGAAGTTTTCCCTCCTAAAACAGCTAAAAGATAAGCGGCCACGTAACGCATTCTGAAATAAAAAACATAGTTTGAATTTTGTTTTAAACTTATAATTTGTATTGTATATATTGATTAATTGCTTTCAGTAAAAATTACCATCACAGTTCTCAGTCGAAAGATGGTGATTATTATTTGAATCATCATATAATATGAATATATTTAAAATAAAACATATTATATCTATATTTAAAATACAACAGATATCAAAGAAAATATAAATATACTTTTTTACTTAATTTTTCATTATTAAATATTATTTTTAGATTTCATATATTATTTTAAATTGAAACTGATTGAATGAATTCATTGATATTTTGTATCTATATACAGTTAAACAATATTTAAATAATAAAACAATGAAAAATAAATAAGTATATTTTTTTTCTTATAGACAAATTGACGCATATGAATAATAATAAACGTATCGTAAATCATCGTAAATTATAATATATTATATTAAAAATAAATTGCATTATTTTACATATTAATACATAATATATTTAAAATATATAATATTATTTACTATAAATTATATTTAAATATAAATATTTACCTTTAAGTCTTACGACACGAAACGTGGTACACGCTCAACAAGGAAAATGCGTTCGATTAGTTGCGTTAATAAAAGGTAAAGAATGCAAAACTTTAAATGATAGAGAAGGGAAACATCTATACATTGATAGCAATTGAAGTGCCATCTAATGTGTATATAAAAATTTAATATTAAATTTCTAATTTCTAATAATTTTTATTAATACAATAAAATAGATTTATGTAAATAATTGATATATAATATTAACAATATAAAAAATTTTTATTAAAAGTATAATTTATTTTTACTGTATTATTATTAAATTAAATATTATTTTATTTTTTTTTATACTTTTTAATATTATATATAAGTAAATGAATAGATTCATTATATGTTACTAAATTACACATTAATTTAAATTTAATTTCTTTAACATTAATAATAACATTAATAATTATAAATTTATTGAAAATCCATCCAAAATTTTTGTCGATACAAAAATTATTCTATTTCATATTTTATTTTTATTATTAACATATATTTATATTTTTTATTGTGAGACATATTTATATATTATTGAAAATAATACGCAATAAATATTCAATATTTTCATATATAATATTTAATACTAAATATTATAAAAACTATGAATTTAATTTTATTTAGATATAAACAACCAATCATAGAAGTTTATTTTAAGAATTATATTGGAAAATAAAAAAGTAATTATAATCAGTATAATTATTGAACTGGTAGTACCTTGATATTGAATGTTAATATTTATTACGATTTCAAAGATCGATATGGTTTTCTTATCTCGTATTGATAATCAGTCATTTCTGTGTATAACAATTGAAGAATGTTAGAATGTAAGTCATTCTTTGAATCAATGAAAATCAGTAATACTGATAGTGACGCGTTGTTGAAATTATAAAAATATTTTCGATTCATAATCACATAAATTATTTTTTTTTATAATTAATTTATATTTATATTGTTGCTGCGAACAATGAAGCAAGGAATTTTTTTTTTTAATATATTACATTAATATTTGGCTGCACAAAAAAAGGTACATAAATAAAATAACATTTTAATACATTTTAATTATTAATAATTTTAATACATTTAATTTAAATATATTAAGTAAATAATAAATTCTCAATAGATATTAATGTTATTGGACCTTTATAAAAATTTATATAATACATATAATTTGTTATTTATTTAAAAAATTGTTTATTCTTTATTAAAAATTAAAATTACAATTATTTAAATCATATACTTTTTGTTATAATAAACTCATAAAAATTAAAAGTTCAAACTGATGTGAAAAGAATAGATTATAATATTGCTAAGATTTATAAATATTAAATTAAATAAAAACAAAATTTACAAAAAAAATATGCAGTAATATTTTGTTACATGAAAATATATTTATTATTTATTTATTAAAAAATTACATATTATTTAAAATTGTATAGATTTTTGTTTTGTTGCTTTATAAACTTAAATTAATAGTAATTAATAATATTAATAATAAAACCTACTAAAATATATAAATTTTGTAATTAAAATATAAAAATACAAATTAACAAAATTATATAAATTTTAATTTTTTATTAAATATATTTAAACATCTATAATAAAATATTTATTTTATCTATAATAAACATTATGATTATGTGAAATTTATATTTTTTTATCAAATTTATATGTAATAATGATAATAATGATAATTTGTAAAGATTTAATATAATAATAATTATACAATATATAATATACAATATATATAATATTATATACAATATATATAAGCAATATCTAATATATATTTTAATATATCTAATATAGATAAATGTATGAATCATTACCTTATTTTATCTTTGTATTTAATTCATTGAATATTTGATACCATCTTTGTCAAGATTAGGTTCAAATCAATTCTAAATTATAAGATACTATTGTAATTTTTATTTAAATAAAAATAATTTCATTTTTAATATTTATTTATTATAAACATATAATTATTAATAATCATTAATTAATTTTTTATTTACTATATATGAAATAGCTATATATTTGTAAAAATATTCTTATTTTTTAGCAAAAAATGATTATTAAGTTAACAATTATTAATATTTTATAAAATATTAATAAAAATAATAATAGTATATATAATTACTAATAATATATTATAAATTGTGATTATATGCATCTATATATGGTATTAATATATTCATTAAATATCTTTGAAATGTTGATTCTGAAAGTCAAAAAAAAACAAAAATATATAAAAAATATCAATTAAGATTTATTTATTAAGTTATAAATAATCAAAGCATTAGACGAACAAAAAGAAATAGAAAGAAACTGCTACATTTCCATTACACCATTGCATTCTGCTTCTTTTTGTTTTGTTTTATCTTATAAATCTTATAAATTTCTTATAATTCAATAAATAAACTTACTAAATAAATAAACTTTTTAAATAAAATTCAATAATAAACTGATATTTTTATATATCAATCTATATATATATAGAAATATATATATATAGATATATATATATATGCATATTATATATTTATAATTGCTAATATCTTTAATTTTTTATTTTTCAGGAATAATGTTGAACAGTGTAATAAAACACATTTTGCATTGTTCCCTATTATTTATTGTTATAATTGTATTTGAGTTAATCACTGGAGGACTTAGATGGAATAATAATAAGAAAGAAATATTTGATCCATGGATTCAATATGGATTTTTTGGTGCACTTATATTATATTTGTTACGGATTCTTACATTTCTTTCTTTTCCACAAGCCTTATTTAATTTTGTTGGATTAATAATATACAATGCATTCCCAGATAAAATTGTTTTAAAAGGTTCACCATTACTTGCACCATTTGTTTGTATTAGAATAGTAACACGTGGAGATTATCCACAATTAGTAAAAGCAAATGTGAAAAGAAATTTAGATAAATGTATAGAAATTGGTTTGGAAAATTTTCAAATTGAAGTAGTTAGTGATAAGCCAATTGGATTAACTGCTCATAGAAGAATTAGAGAAGTTATAGTACCACCGAATTACCGTACAAGTAGTGGTGCTTTATTTAAAGCTCGTGCTTTACAATATTGTTTAGAACATTCAGTAAATGAATTAGCAGATAATGATTGGATTGTACATCTTGATGAAGAAACTTTACTTACTGAAAATTCCATTCGTGGAATATTAAATTTTGTATTGGATGGAAAGCATCAATTTGGACAAGGATTAATAACATATGCAAATGAAGATGTTGTTAATTGGATTACTACTTTAGCAGATAGTTTTAGAGTAGCAGATGATATGGGAAAACTACGATTACAATTTACAATGTTTCATAAACCTTTCTTTAGTATGAAAGGTTCTTATGTTGTCAGTCAAGTAATTGTTATATATATGAATTATATATATGATTTATATTTTTAGTTATAATCATATTATGTAATATTATAGAAACAATTTCATTGTTACAGATGGGTGCAGAAAAACAAGTTTCTTTTAACAATGGATTAGATGGATCCATTGCAGAAGATTGTTTTTTTGCAATGAAAGCATTTACCCAAGGGTATTCATTTAATTTTATAGATGGTGAAATGTGGGAAAAATCACCATTTACATTATGGGACTTCATACAACAAAGAAAAAGATGGATACAAGGTATATTACTTGTTGTACATTCCAAAGCTATTCCCTTAAATAAAAAGTTGCTCCTAGGTATATCTTGTTACTCATGGGTAACAATGCCTCTTTCTACTTCAAATATTATATTAGCTGGAATTTATCCTATTACTTGCCCTCCACTTATGGATTTTTTATGTGCTTTTGCTGGTGCAGTAAATATTTATATGTATATTTTTGGTGTAGTTAAATCTTTTTCATTATCTCGATTTGGTATTGCTCGATTTATACTATGTATATGTGGAGCATTATCAACAATTCCTTTCAATTTGATCATTGAAAATGTTGCCGTTATATGGGGATTGTTTGGAAAAAAGTATAAATTTTATGTTGTTAATAAGGAGTACAAACATGATGTAAATAAGGAACCAATCACAGTATAAAAAAGTATTAAAATCTTTTTCCAATATATTTAAAAGAATATTCATATGCACTTTTTGTACCTGTAAGTTGAAACAAATTCATATGTCATTGTCATAAAATATCTTAATTATAATGTATATTATATGACATATACATGTGTTTAAATTAACTAGTAATAAGATTTAGAATATTCAAAAAAGAGAATATATGTATGTATGTATGTACATATATATATATATATATAAATATTCACAGTATTCAGATTATGTTTTTAATTTATTTATTTAAGAAAATATAATTTAGAAATTTAATAATAATAAATAAAAAATTATTTAAAAAATTAAAAAATTTCTTGTTTCAATAATAAAAATTAAAAAATTAAAAATTAATTAAAAAATGATTTTATTACTATATCATAAATCATATAAAATTTGTAATATTTGATATTTTTACCTATTAATATATAAATTATTAATATATAGACAATGCTATATAAGATGTTACAAACTGTGTTCATTTAAAACCATTATAAATATTGATTTGCTTTTTTCTTAAATTATTATTTTGAATAAAATCATATTAGAAAAAAGATACATTGCAAATGATATATGCAAATAATTATAATTCTTTAATTAGATTATTACTAAGTTTAATATCAATTACCCAAATAAAAAATTCTACTTCAAAAAAAATTTGACTATGTTTATTGTCCTAGGAATCTTTATATTATCCAAATTTTTACTATCAAATATATTTAATTATTCTATTTAATTAAAAAAAAAAAGCAAATTAATATCTGTAATAGTTTCAAAGAAACAGTTTATAATTTTATGTTTATTCAAAACTTATAAAAAAAAATTTTTTAATAATTTTGTAAAAAAAATTAAATAATTATTTTTGACATGCATTAATATTATTCTACAATCATTCACACGTTTTGAAATTAATACAATACAATATATATAATAAAAATATAATATTATAAATAGAAACAATATAATTATTTTTATGTAATAAATTATATACAGGTACAACAAAGTTTGTATAAAATAAATATGAAGTTAAGGATTTATACAAATTGACATAATTTTGTAAATAATTCTTTTTATAAAAATCTATAAAATATTTATTTTATCTGTAATTTTTCAAATATAATAAATAATTTTAGAAATCTAATAATTTAAAAATCATATATTTATCATATAAATTGATTATAATATATAAAATTCTGCAGAACCAATAATTGTAAGTAGTGATTTTTCATGTTACATTTATTTTTTTTAATTTATCAATTGTCATAAAAATTTCAAATGAATTTTAAAAATCTACTGAAAATTCTTTTATATATATAAAACATATATGTAAGATATATTGAAATTTATCAAGAATATTAATCAAGTCAATTGAATATTAATCAAGATTTAATATACATGCTATTAATATTTAATATATATTTAATATAAATTAATATTTAATATACATGAATCTAGATCGATTCTAGAGATCAAATAAAAGTAGTAATACAAATATCAACAATACAAATATCAGTAAAAGCTTATTTATTAATTTATATTATATTAATATATAATAATATTTATTATATTAATTATAAGCAATTAATTATAATTAAGTTATAAGCAATTTAAGTTCGCATTAAATAAAATAAGACAACAACAGAATATGAGAGCATAATAGAGACAAAATAATTTCACTTTATTTCTATCTCGCTTTGTTTAATACAAACTTCAAATTGCTTACAACTTAATAATAAATAAATCTTGATTGATATTTTTGTATATTAATTTTTATCAGAATTAATTTTTCAAAAATCACGAATATATTAATATTCTAATTAGAGAGGATTCCATTTTTTTAATTAAAACATATAAAATATTAAATATTATTGAAAAAACTTTTTATTCTATTTTGAGAAATTTTATTAGTAATTAATAATTATAAATTATTAATTTATAACTAAGATTTTGAAATTATCAAAATCTTTTAAATTGATTAGAAATTCATTTCTGTTGAATGTAAGATCTTTTATCTTGTATTTAAAAAATCTATTTTATTTTTAGTTTTATTTATTATAGTAATGATAGTATTCATGTTATCAATGATATTTCTGAATATTGAAATTGAAAAAATATTGAAATAAGAAACATTTTATATATATTTTATGTATTTTAAATTATTTAATTAATATATCAAATAAATATAATTATAATTATTTAATTATATTAAATAAAACTTAACTTATCTAGTCAAAAAAATATAAAAAGGATATATAATAATGTTATTTATTATTATAAAAATAAAAAATTTATAAATAAATTATATAGTAATCAATTATTCTATAATACAAGTATCCAAAAAGTTTAATAATAAAATAAAAAACTTCTCTGTTATAATGGAGTTAATTAATAAATTAAAGTTGCAGAAATAATTAACTTGTGAATTTACAAAAAAAAAATGTTTGTTTGTTTGTAAAGATATTAAACTATATTATATTGAACCAAGTTTTTAATTAACAAAATTTTGACATATAATTGTATTCATTTGTAATATATACAATAAGTCTCTGAATGAAGAGATAATTATAATTAATTTTAGTAATTTAAAAAAATCAAAAAAAGAATTGAAAAATATATAGATAAATAAAAGAATCATTTAATAAAAATAAATCGTAAAAAATAAATTATATTACTTATATAATATTCTAATACATTTTTATCATTAGTATGATTAATTTTATCTGCATAATATTTTATTAGGAATAAAAATAATTATATCTATAATGTTACTTTATCTATATTATATTTAATCTACGATGAAAATTTATATTTAACTATATTTGATAAATGAAGTAATAAGATAATATGTTTATAAATACATATCATATTTTTTTCATAATATATTATTATTTTTTAAGGAAAATATTGTTTATTAAATATATTTTTATAAATACCTTTCACGTATAATTACTTATATATATTTACAAGTAAATGTCTGTAATTTGAAATTTATAATATTTTGAAAAATAAAATATATCTCCAAAATATAATTGTCTTTATTTAAAATAATTCTTATATAATTTTAATTTTATATTTACAAAATGAAATAAAAATTATTTTTACAAGTTATTTTTTGCGAAACTATTTTAGATTTCAATATTCTTTTTATTTAAATATTTTTTATGAACCAATAACTCAATGAATTTTTAGCGGGTTTTATTTTCAGTCTTAAAAAATTATTTTCATTTTTTTTTAAATTGAATGGCATATTAATTTTTCGTTATTTAGATAGTTAATATAGTTTAAAATATTTTTTTCTATTCAGAAATATATTGTAATAAAGTTCTTATTCTATGTGAAAGAATATGAAAAAAGAAAAATTTATAAGTTATTATATTTCGATGTATATAATGCAATTACATGTTATATCTTATATATATCAATAGTATACATATAAATATTTTATTCTATAGTTAATAGTATTATACACATGTATAATTAGTATTGTACACGTGTAGATATCTAACCTTAATCTTTCATGAAATTTTTAAAATTTAATTTGTTATTTTTTTATGTACATGAGAATTAATTTATAAAAAATTTTTATAATTATATGAAAAAAAAATATTCAAATTTAATTTTTAGTTAGTTAATAATATTTTTAAATAATAATATTTTATAATAATTATAATTAATTATAAATGTAAGTAGAAAAACTTGAATAAATATTGAGATATAATGAAATATAAAAATTAATATAAATAAAATTTAAAAAAATAATAATTAATATAATTAATACATATATATTTGAATGTATATTTGAATTATATGAATTATAAATATACTTATTTCAGACAAAATGGCAAAATCTCACGTAACAAATAAAGCTCCTAGAAAGGAGGGATTTAAGCGTTCTGGACACAGTATGAATCCTGAACGATCTATAGAAGGATTAAAGGGTGTAGCAAAAGTACGAACAAAAGCAACAATTAAAAGATTGCAAATGTATCGTAATCAAAAACCAAAGCGTGATCGTAAAGGACATATTATTAGTCCAGCACCATTTCAAGGTTGGCAACCATCTGGTACTATGTCTCGTGTAGAACCTTCACAAAAATGGTTTGGTAATTCAAGAGTTATTTCTCAAAGTGCTTTACAAAAGTTTCAAAATGAATTAGGAAAAGCAATGAAAGATCCTTATAATATTATTATGAAATCTACACAATTACCAATAACATTACTTCAACAAAAAGCTATAAATGCAAGAGTACATTTATTAGATACAGAAAGTTTTGAAAGTGTTTTTGGCCCAAAAAAAATACGAAAAAAACCAAATTTGATAATATCATCATATGATGAATTACAAAAATTAGCAAAAGAAAAGGAAGAAACATATAACATGGAAAAAGACTCTAAAGATATTGATCTTATACGTCCAGATGATGGTATTAGAGAAACTCAAAGAGATTGGATTATGTCTGCAGGACAAAGTAAAAGAATTTGGAATGAATTATATAAAGTTATAGATTCCTCTGATGTTATTTTACAAGTATTAGATGCCAGAGATCCTTTAGGAACTAGATCACCTCAAATAGAAAAATATCTCAAAACAGAAAAGCCTCATAAACATTTAATGTTTATTTTAAATAAAGTAGATCTTGTTCCAACATGGGTAACACAAAGATGGGTTACAATTTTAAGTACAGAATATCCAACAATTGCATTTCATGCTTCTATGACACATCCATTTGGTAAAGGTTCTTTGATAAATTTGCTGCGTCAATTTGCAAAACTTCATATTGATAAGAAACAAATCAGTGTAGGTTTTATAGGATATCCTAATACAGGCAAAAGTTCAATTATAAATACATTAAGATCAAAAAAAGTATGTAAGGTTGCACCAATAGCAGGAGAAACAAAGGTATGGCAATATATTACTTTGATGCGACGTATTTACTTAATAGATTGTCCAGGTGTAGTTTATCCATCAGCAGAAACAGACACAGAAAAAGTTTTGAAAGGTGTAGTAAGAGTAGAACTTGTTCAAAATCCTGAAGATTATGTTTCAGAAGTATTATCACGAGTAAAAGAAGATTATATTCGTAAGACTTATAAAATTATGGAATGGGATAATCATATTGATTTTTTAGAAAAATTGGCACGTAAAAGTGGAAAATTATTAAAAAAAGGAGAACCTGATATCACTATTATTTCACGAATGATTTTAAATGATTGGCAACGTGGTAAATTGCCATTTTATGTTCCACCTCCTGGTTTTGAAGAGCCATTGATAAACATAATGACTGACGAGCTTGCAATTGAAAATAATATTAAAAAAGATAACGATATTAATATAGATAAAATTGGGAATACATCAATTCAGGATAAAAATCCATCAAAAGAAATAATTCTTCAATTATCTGTAGTACAAGATTTTCGAAAAATTAAAGTTGGTTTACCATATTCGGGTGATGATATAAAAAATAATTTATATCTTGAATCTAATTTTTCTGATAAAAAAAATAATGATATGGAAGAAATTGGATCAGTTTTATCAGATTTAGATAATAAGAATGAAGAAACCACACAATTTGAAGAAATAATAGAAGAGAAAGAAATTGCTCAAAATCTAGAAAATAAAAATAAAATAAATAAAGAATATTCTGATGATGATATTCATTTGCTATTAGAAAAAGATACTTTATTACAAAGTATATATGATGAAGTGGAAAAAGAATATGATTCTAGTGATAGTGAAATTTTGAACACAAATACTACATCAAGTAGTGGTATATTTAAAATTTCTTCCATATCTTCTAAAATGGAATCATTAATGGAAAAAGGAAAAAAATTAACAAGTAAACAAAGACGAGCCATAGAAAGAGCCAATAAGAGAAAAAAAATTGGAAGTAATTTTTATGAAATTACTAATGTAAAAAATAGAAATAGAAATAGAAAAATTCCTAAAATTAAAAGAAAATAATTTGCAAGGAAAAGATCAAAACAACCATATATTAAGTTATTGAGTTATTTGAAGTTATTGATATCATATAAATTACAATATCTAAATTTTTTTCTTATTTATATTATATTTTTTAAAAATATATTAAATAAATTGATTTATAAATAGCAAAATGAAGAATATGAAGATACTGATAAATTTAACAAATTATTTTTTAATATATTAAGATTCTATATATTTTAGAAAATCCATAAATAAATAAAATATATATTTAAAATTTATATAAGTAATTTTTTGATAAATCATTATTTATAAATTATTATATTATAAATTTATTTGTTCAATCATAATAAAATATAAATTGATATATTATATAAGGTATATTTATAAATAAAATAAATCTTTTGAATAAATTTGCATAAATTTTGCTGAACAAATATAGATAAGAAAAGTAAATAGTGAGGAAAAAGATAAAAATAGAATAAGTTAATGCCATTTCTAAAATACCGCAAATGAAATATAAACAAAGAAAACAAATAAAAGGATACAGATAGAGTAAAAAAATTAATATCACTGCTATCTCTTTAATTTTTTTTAGAATTTATTAAAAAGATGTTTGACACTCAAAAGATGCTACTGATAATTAATTTTTATTCTATCTTTAGTTTCCTTCTTTTTTAGCCTTCTATTATTTACTTTTCTTATCTATATTTATTCCATAGAAATAATTGATTTATATATATATATATAATTTTTAATCTATTTCTATCTTTATCTCACTATTTATTATCCTTGTCTATATTTTTGTTTTTTTTTTATAATCTCAAACAAGATATATATTGTAGTTCTTTAGTGGTAATATAGAGGTCTATTGTGTTTGACATTCGTTTCACATTGTATAAAATTTTTGTATGCATATTTTGTAATTTGTATATTAAATGTCATATAAAATGTGCATATAATAAGTTTTTATATGATATATTTACATATATACATATACATATTTTAGTAAGCAAATAAGTATTTTAAAAATTGTATAAAGATATTTTAAAGAAATAATTCAAACATAACCACAAAATGCAATGAATGATATATTTAATTATAATAAATATACTTGAATTATAAAAATTTAATATACTTTTAAGAAAATAGAATTATAAATATTTTCAAAATTTCAATATACATATTCAAAATGCGTAGTCGTAGTAATTCTGGTGTTCGTTTGGATTATTATCAACGAATCGTACACAAAATCATTATGAAACATCAGAATGCAGTTACAGGACTTTTTCCTGCTAGTCCTGAAAATAATCATGCATGGGTTCGTGATAACGTATACTGTATTCTTGCTGTTTGGGGTCTTTCAATGGCATATAAAAAGATTGCTGATGCAGATGAAGATAGAGCCAAAACATATGAACTTGAACAAAGTTGTGTAAAATTAATGAGAGGTTTATTAATGGCAATGATGCAACAAAAAGGAAAAGTTGAACAATTTAAATCCAGTCAAAATCCATGTGATGCCTTACATGCTAAATATAGCTCTGTTAATGGACAAACTGTTGTGGGTGATACAGAATGGGGTCATCTTCAAATAGATGCTATATCTCTTTATTTATTAATTTTAGCTCAAATGACAGCATCCGGTTTACAAATTGTTTTCAATTTGGATGAGGTACATACATTATATTATAACTAATATTCATTTTATATAAAATATTCTTTTATGTTATATTTCTAAATATATAAAATTAATTTTAGGTTGCATTCATTCAAAATTTAGTATTTTATATAGAGTCAGCTTATTGTACTCCTGATTATGGAATTTGGGAAAGAGGAGATAAAACAAATCATGGATTACCAGAATTAAATGCTAGTAGTATCGGAATGGCAAAAGCTGCAATGGAAGCAATGAATGAATTGGATTTATTTGGTGCAAGAGGTGGACCTACCTCAGTAATTCATGTATTAGCAGATGAAGCACAAAAATGTCAAGCTGTTTTACAATCTATGTTACCACGAGAATCAAATTCAAAAGAATTAGATAGTGGATTATTATCTGTTATAAGTTTTCCAGCATTTGCTGTAGATGAACCTAATTTAATTCAATTAACAAGAGATGCAATTACTAAAAAATTACAAGGTCATTATGGATGTAAAAGATTTTTGAGAGATGGATATAAAACGCCAAAAGAAGATCCTAATAGGTAAAATATAATTTTTAAATTTTATTTTTGTGCATATTTTTAACATTTACTAATCAATTTTTATTAATTAATTATATTTATATTAGACTTTATTATGAACCATGGGAATTACGTATATTTGAAAATATAGAATGTGAATGGCCTTTGTTTTTTTGTTATTTAATTGTGGACTACTGTTTCCAAGGCAATAAAGATGCAGTAATAGAATATACAAAACAATTAGAACAAATAATGATTAAAGCAGAAGATGGAATAAAATTAGTACCTGAATTATATTCTGTGGAGACTGCAAATGTATCAGCTGAATATGCTGAACCAGGTAGTCAGAAACGTATTGCATTAGGTAGATGTCCATTTATGTGGGCTCAATCTCTTTACATATTAGGAAAATTATTACAAGAAGTAAGTATATAAATATAGGAAAAATAAAAATAGAAATTTATTTAATTATCTTTTTTAAATCATATTTCTAATTAATAGGGATTTCTTGCTGTGGGAGAATTGGATCCATTAAACAGACGTTTATGTAGTGAAAAGAAACCAGATGTTGTAGTACAAGTTGTTATTTTAGCAGAAGATGCTGAAATTAGAGAAAAAATAGCTCAACATGATATTCATGTACAAACAATTGCAGAAGTTGCACCAATTGAAGTGCAACCAGCAAAAGTTCTTAGTCATTTATATACATATTTAGGTATTTTTAAAATAAATTTATCAATTTCATAAATTTATTATTTATTTTGTAAATTTTAATTATTTTTGTATTTATTTATAATGTTTTTTTTAGGTCGAAATAAAAAGTTAGGATTATCTGGGCGTAAATCAAGAGATGTAGGAATTTTGAGTACCAGTAAATTATATTCCTTGAATGATAAAATATTTGCATTCACTCCACAGGTAGGCATTTTGATATTTATCGAACTGTCATCTCTCTGTACTTTTATTTCTTTTCTTATGTTGCCTCTTGTTCTTGCATCAAACATTAGTTGACAGACATGACCCGCTTCTACATCGCATCGGACTATGAGCTCATGATTGACATATTCAAAGGCGAAATTAATTTCTTGAAGTCTAGCTGGCAGAACATGTTAGGCCGGCCTCTTGTGGTCATGCCCCTCAAGAACATTCATCTAGGTACAGTAATTTAATATTTAAAAACTATAGTTTTCATCTGTGTTACTTTTTCTTGTCAATTACATAAAAAATTGTAATGATAAAATTTCATGATTATAAAGCTTCAAAGTAACAGAGATAAAATATATAGTTTTTAAAATATAAATAAAGAAGTTTCCTTTCGGAATTTTAAAGTTTCCTTACTGAAATTATGCAAATACATTATCCAAAGAACATCTAACATGTCTGCCTGCATGCGTGCATTTGTTTTTGTTATCAGTTTTGCTTTAATGGCTATGGAAGGTCTTAATGCAATTTGATTAGCTATTATTAATATTTTGCTAATTATTAATTTTTATCGTATAATAAGTTAAGTGTTATTGTCTTCATCATGAGCAAAATCAATTAATGTTGAATATTTTAACGAAAATAAAATAGTTTAAAAAAAACAAAGAGGAATTGAGGAAAGGCCGTTTTCTCTTCAATATAAAATCTAACATTCTAAGAAGACAGCTTATGTGTGCGGTGGTGTGCGCGTTTGTTGCATGTCTTAGAACTTTGACGCGGAGGAGTACTACACGACAAATGATGCAGCCCTCCTTGCCAACACTTTTACAACCAACTTGGCCTTCCTCACCATCAACTGGAAGCAAATGCTCGGCAGGCCAACTATAACACTTGTTGCTACTCATAATCATCTAGGTATGCCACAGGCAGCTTTAGATCATCATTCAGGATAAAAATTTATTTAAAATGTGTACTAAAAATAGGATAGAACTTTTTTAAAAACAATATGTTAGAACCAATATAAAATTTGCACATTGCTTCTTTTATTTTTTGACAATAAAATCAATATTATATATTATATATATTTTATATTATATATAATACATGATTGTCATTTCAGATCAAGGAAAGATACCATTAGCAATGATAACTACTATGAAAAAATTAAAAAGTGGTTATATTAATGGTACTCGAGTTTCGCTAGGAAACTTAAATGATTTTTTGAGTACATCTTGCATTACAAATCTAAGCTTCTTAGGAAGTTCTGAAGATGGTAGACCCGATAAATTAAATCCTCAGGTAAATAATATTTTTATTAGAAATTAATGTAATTTAATATTTTTAAATTATACACATTTTAGGTTCAACAATATTTAGAAGAACATTTGATGCGTGCATTTCCACATCGTACAGGTCTTCTTAATAGACCTATAATTAGAAGTGGAAAAAATTTAAGACGCAAAATGTCAGTAAAAGGAGCTATAAAAAAAACAAGATCAATTGCTGTAGAACGTAAGTGATATTTATTTTCTTTATTATTATTACAAATTACTTAATTTTTTTAACATTCTTATTGCATGCTACTTAAAGTGGATCCTTAAATATTTATACAATATGATCCTATACTATGGTTCCTACCATCCTACAAGAATGTAAGTTTACTAACTCTTAATTTCCAAATTATAATAATAAAAAAGAAAATATAAGAATAAAAAATTTAACATTTTTAAAAAATTAAATTTTTTTTAAACACATTATTACAAATTGAACTCAATATAATAACTAAATAATTCGATAATTAGTAAAATAATTTTGAAAAAAAAAAGTAATTATATAATTTGTAGCTGAAATTCTTGGGATGGCAGGAGAAGATAGAAGACTTTCTGCTGTTTTAAATACAAATCCATTTATTGAAGTGACAGATACAACATTAACTTCTAATCCTATGCAATCAACTTCAATGGATCGAATACCTTCTCCTACAAATGAATTATTATCATGGACAAATTCTCCTAAGTTACATAGGCATAGAGGTATAAATGAAACTCAATATGCAGATACAGAAGTTGAAGAATTGTTAACTATG